ACCATTCCCTAAATTGAAGAAAGGAGAGATGATTTGTTACATTCAAACTTCCGCCGATCACAACAAACACTTAACGAGCGCCACGCTGTCGCTCTTGTTCGTTTCCCCCCTCCAGCAGCTTGGAAAATGCGCTCGTAGGCCGGAAAGCGCTCTATGCGTTAAGAGCTCCTTCGTTTTTCTCTGGCTTATCTGCATTTAGGTAGGGTCAAAAATTAAACGAAATAGGGTTTGTCACATGAATGATAACCATTCATCTCGACATGAGATGTGCAAGATCGCAGAGAGCTGTTGTCTTTCAAGGAACTTTTCCCTCGCAATGAGCTTCCTCTGGTTGATCTAAGCGAGGTCCGCTCGCTATAAATCGATCTCTCCCAGACCATTTCCTGTCTCCGAATACCCGGGACAATATAGAAACAAGAAAACGCAAGGATTTTCTTAAAAGCTGAACGGAAATCCTTGTTCATACAGGCATAGATGATTGGGTTTAACACGCTGTTGACATAATGCAACCACTTAGCTGCCAGAACCGCCTCTTCAGGGATTGGTGAGCAGCTTTTGCACAAAGCATACACGAGGTTTAAGACGAAGAATGGGCCCCAACAAATGATGAAAGCGCCAATAACTGCTCCAACTGTTTTGGCCGCTTTGAGTTCTTTGGAGAGAAGAAATCTCTTTGGGCTGCCATGGACTGTTAGAATTATCTTTTTGATCTGATGATGCGCGGCTCTGTAGATTTGCATGTAACATATGAGCATAATGACCAGAGGAATAAAGAAACAAGAAACACTGACGGCAATTTCATAGGAAGGTGGGGGAACGGACCAAAGGATGATTTTTAATACCGCCATGAAGATGGAAAACGACCATATACCAAAAATGGCAATGACAGCCTTGCGGGTTGTCATTCTGTCGTGGTAAGTGAGTGGTGAGGTAATGCATACATAACGTTCCAAGCTTATGAAACAAAGATGGAGAATTGATGCAACACCACAAAGTATGTCGACACAGCTCCAAACCTATGACAAAGTGACCAAAAAAAAAATCAGTTATGTAAAGGTTGCAAATACTGAATCAATATCAGTATCTAAGCACTTACCCCTCCCCTAATCCAACATTGACCCCCTATCATCATCAAATCATATTCCAGGTTTGAAAACATTACTGTAACCACAAGCGGCCCCAGCTCCAGCTGTGAGATGATCATCTTGCACAATAACAGTCATGGCGGAATTATAAGAGTTTGTCTGAATAAAAATACCTCACCTTACTTCCACAGCGTATCGCTTGTTATCTGACCACTTTCTTTGATAAAAAGAACCGTTTTAGCGAGTTGTCCATTTCGAGGTTTTCAACGGGCTTTTCCTAAGTAAGTTGAAAACCTCGAAATGGACAGCTCGCTAAAATGGGTTCTTTTCATCAAAGTAAACGGTCGGATAACAAGTGATACGCTGTGGAAGTAAGGTTAGTTATTTTC